GCTGAAAATATCAAATAAATACATCTTGTAAACTTGCAATACTTAATGTTGGCCACTAGAGCCTGCAAATGATCCAAAACAAGTGAAGCAAAGTCTTTTCAGAATTATCAAATGCAAGACAAGTCAGTAAACAAACAGGCAACTGGAATTTGGCTTTCAAAAATCAGTCTGTGTAAATATTCCTAAGCAATTTTTATGTATCGATTGACTTTTTAAAACAAATAAAGCTTTCACTTCAGTCTGTTTTTAAAACTGACAATATTTTAATTTATTGAAAATTTTTGAATGAGCCAAAAGTTCTGTCCTCTCTAAGTGCAACTGGGCATTCTGAAGGTTGCATTTCCACCAGGTGTGGAGTCATACCTAGACGGAGAACCAATGATGTATTTCCTCAAACTCAGCAGATCCCAAGGTCCAAATTAAGATGATGGTGGCATAGTGGTCACTGGACTGATAATCCACAACTCCAGCCTAACGTTCTGAGTACGAGTTTGAATCCCACTATGGCAGATGGTAGATTTTGAGTTTAATTTTTAAAAACTGAAAATAAAAGTCTCAAGATGACCATAAAATAATTTGTCTTAAAAACTCATCTCATTATCTTTTAGGGACAGAAACTGCTGCCCTTTCCTGGCCTACGTGACTCCAGGCTCACAGCAATGCAGTTGACTTGTAATTGCTATCCCTATCTAGGCAATTAGGGAAGGACAATAAGTGTTCAGAACTATGAGATCATTAATTATGAGACAGGAATAATTAATGACCTCATAGTTAGGGATCTTCTTGGAAGGAGTGATCACTGTATGGTTGAATTTAGAATACAGATGGAGAGTGTGAAGATAAAATCTAATACCAGGGTCCTGTGCTTGAACAAGGGGAACTACAATAGAATGAGGGAGGACTTGGCTAAAGTAGACTGGAAACAAAGATTTTATGGTGGGACAGTTGACGAGCAGTGGAGGACTTTCAAAGCAATTTTTCGAAGTGCTCAGCAAAAGTATATTCCAGTGAAAAGGAAGGACTGTAAGAAAAGGGGTAATCTGCCATGGGTGTCTAAAGAAATAAGGCAGGCTATCAAATTGAAACAGAAAGCATACAAAGTGGCCAAAAACAGCATGAAACTAGAAGATTGGGAAAACTTTAAAGGTCAACAGAAAGCCACAAAAAGAGCTATAAAGAAAAGTAAGATAGAACATGAGAAAAAACTAGCACTGAATATAAAGACAGATAGCAAAAGTTTCTATAAATATATAAAACGAAAAAGAGTGGCTAAAACGTTGGGCCTTTACAGGATGAGAAGGGGAATTTAGTTATGGGATATGATGAAATGGCCGAGGCATTGAACAGGTATTTTGTATCGGTCTTCACAGTGGAGGACACTAATAACATGCCAGTAATTGACAAAGAGACGAAGGTAGGTGAGGACCTGGAAACAATCATCATTACGGAAGAGGTAGTGTTGGGCAAGCTAATGGAGCTAAGGATTGATAAGTCTCCTGGCCCTGATGGAATGCATCCCCAGGGTACTAAAAGAGATGGTGGGAGAAATAGCAGGTGTACTGGCGGTAATTTTCCAAAATTCGCTGGACTCTGGGGCAGTCCCAGCAGATTGGAAAACAGCAAATGTGACGCCACTGTTTAAAAAGGGAAGTAGACAAAAGATGGGGAATAATAGACCGGTTAGCTTAACCTCTATAGTGGGGAAGATGCTTGAGTCTATTATCAAGGAAGAAATAGCAAGGCATCTTGATAGAAATTGTCCCGTTGGGCAGACGCAGCATGGGTTCATGAAGGGCAGGTCATGCTTGACAAATCTTTTGGAATCTTTTGCAGAGGAACATAGATACATTGAGTGAGTGGGCAAAGGTCTGGCAGATGGAATACAATGTAAATAAATGTGAAGTCATACATTTTGGTAGGAGTAATAGTAAAAAGGATTATTACTTGAATGGTAAAAAGTTGCAGCATGCTGCTATGCAGAGGGACCTGGGTGTCCTTGTGCATGAATCACAGAAGGTAGGTCTGCAGGTACAACAAGTAATTAGGAAGGCAAATGGAATTTTGTCCTTCATTGCTAAAGGGATTGAGATTAAAAGCAGAAAGGTTATGTTGCAGCTGTACAAGGTGCTGGTGAGGCCACACCTGGAGTACTGCGTGCAGTTTTGGTCTCCTTACTTGAGAAAGGATCTATTGGCACTGGAGGGGGTGCAAAGGAGGTTCACTAGGTTGATTCCGGAGTTGAGGGGGTTGGCTTATGAGGAGAGATTGAGTAGATTGGGATTATATTCATTGGAATTCAGAAGATTGAGGGGGGATCTTATAGAAACATATAAAATTATGAAGGGAAAAGATAAGAAAGAAGTAGAGAGGATGTTTCCACTGGCACGTGAAGCTAGGACACGAGGGCATAGCCTCAAGATTAGAGGAAGCAGATTTAGGACTGAATTGAAAAGGAACTTCTTCACCCAGAGGGTTGTTAATCTATGGAATTCCTTGCCCAGTGAAGTAGTTGATGCTACTTCAGTAAACGTTTTTAAAGATAAGGTAGATTTTTTTTGAATAATAAAGGAATTAAGGGATACGGTGGGAACGCGGGTAAGTGGATCTGAGTCCACGAAAAGATCAGCCATGATCTTATTGAATGGTGGAGCAGGCTCGAAGGGCCAGACGGTCTACTCCTGCTCCTAGTTCTTATGTTCTTATGTTCACATCCCATGAACATATAAATAAAAATAAAGTAATAATGTCTGATTAGTTTACTGAGCCACACAGCTACTGGCATAAGGTACAGCAAATTCAAAAATCAATGTCGTGACTCAAAGAGTGGTGTTAGAAAGGGTTTTGAATCTTGACAGCAATATAGAGGGAGCTGTAGATGGGCTCCACGTGAATTAGGATGGGATCTCTGACCTGATCAACTAAAAGGAGGGCAGGAGAAGCAACATTAAACTGCTCATTATCTGAATGCATTAAATAAGGAACAAACCAGAGAGATAAATGACAACTGAAATTGCAGGGATATACCTACAAAGTGACCAAGATTGGGAAATAAATTTTGCAGGATACTTAATATATTGAAACAACGAGAGAAGGACAGTATTGACAAAGGATCACGGCCCAGAAGATCAGGAAGCCAAAACAGTATGAGTTGAAGATCAGGTATAATAAGGGAAACATTGGTGGGAGAATTTACAGGATCCTAACAACAGCTATACTATGTCACAGTAGGCTGCAACTGGTGGAGGGCTGCAAGGATCATTTTAGGGTCACAGATATTTACGATGTATTTTAATGATTTAGATAAAGCAACCAAGAGAAACAAATCTAAACTTGTAGATGATATGAAGATGGTTGGGAATGTCAGCTGTAAAGTGAGAAGGACACAGCGAGGCTGCAAGAAAATATGGACAGGTTAAGTGAGTGGGCAACAATAGGGCAAATGGAATGACATGCTGGGAAGTGCAAGGTTAGTATTCATTTTGGCATTAAGAACAAAAAAAAACAGAATATTTAAAAGATGTGAAACTTATAAATGTTGATGTTCAGAAAGACTTGGTAAATGCATAAATATTCATGTGGAGTAAACAAATAAGAAGGCAAATAATATGTTAGCCTGTATTATAATATGATCAGAGTACAGAAATACGTTCTGTTCAAGGTTTTTGAGAAGATTTGTAGCTCTGGTTGTTGACTTGCTTGCTGAGCTGGTAAGTTTGTTCACAAACATTTCATCACCATTCTAGGTAACATCTAGTGTCACTTCTGGATTTGTTTCTTAGTGGTTGGTATATGGGGTCCAGCTCTATATGTTTGTTAATGGAGTTCCAGTTTGTGTGCCAGGCCTCCAGGAATTCTCGTGCGTGTCTTTGCTTGGCACTATCATTCATTTCAATACACATGGACAAAGAGGGACACCAATTTGACTGGGACAACGTAGCCATCCTAGGACTAGCCAAGCAAAGACACACACAAGAATTCCTGGAAGCGTGGTACTCAAACCAGAACTTTATTAACAAATACGTAGAGCTGGACCCCATATACCAAACCACTAACAAACAAATCTGGAAGGGATGCCACCTACTCCAGCTAACCGAGACACGTAAGTAGCAAGCAGGACATAACACTAATGCTTCACTGGAGACACATTGATGATGTTCCCTAGTATGGCAAACAAACTTACCAGCTCAGGAAGCAACGAACAACAGAATCTGTTCATTGACACCAATGATTCCCCAACATGCATGTGGCACTGTGATTATTGCCGACTACAAAGAAAAGTTCTACTTCGGATTCTGTGACTTGATATATTGTTTCATTAAAATTATCTCATTATTTTGTATTTTTAACTATTCCTTTATCTATGACAGATATTATTGCTAATGCACATGATCTCTGGTGGCAGAAAACATAGCTGCAGAAATAAGGAAGCCTTGCTTAAACAGTGGGACTACATCTGTAAGCCTGTGTGTATAGCTTTAGTCTGAACATTTAAGGACAGAATTGCATTGGAAACAGTACACTGGGTTCAACAGATCCATTCCTGTGATAAAAAGCTAAGTGCACTGGATCTCTCTTCTTTGAAAAAACAGACAAATGAGAGATAATTCAATGTAACATACAAGATTCTGAAGGGACTTGAAAGGGTGCACAGAGAACGTAATTCAAACCCCACCACTCTGGTCTCCATTCCCATCGCCAATTCCAGCCCCTCTCTCTCTCCAGTCCGATATCCCTCCCCTTCTCCATCATCTCTTCCCCCAATTCCTTCCACTACCTCCACCCTTCTCCCACCTGCCCAGTCTTATTTTTCCGCTCGCTCTCACCGACACCGCCCCCTCCCCAAGGAACACCTATCCGGCCTGTCTCTGTCTGCCCACTCCACCCCACCCGGGCAGTACCTGTCCCGGCCCCTCTCCCACTGGCAGTGCCTGATTTGTTTTATTACTGTCATATGTAGGTACAGTACAGAGGTTGTGTTTAGTGTGCAATACAGGCAGTACCTGTCCGACCTGCCTCCCTCTCTCTCCGTACAGCCGAGTCTCCAGTTTCTCCAAACGATCCTTCAGCCTCTTCAGCTCCGCCATTGTCAGCGCCACTTCCGCCTGACGGCGGAAATTACGTCAGAGGGCCCAGGACCAGGTGCGAGGCCGGGGCCTGGGATCCCGGGATCCCGG